ATGTATATTACATTAGATTTTTTTTTCCAAAGCTACCTAAGGAATACATTTCCCAACACATCTATTGTAAACGTACTACGGCCAAATTTAAACTTTCTTTTTTTAAGACCTAACTGATCCCCAATGGCTTTCTTCAGAATAGCCTACTCTGGTGTCACTGTAAGAAGGCCACATCGACAAACAAATCTTCAGTTGTCCAACCAAGCACAAAAAATACAACAACATCAACAACAAAAAGGCCCCTAAATAAATGAGGCTCTTTGTGTTTTCCCACGTGCACACTTGAGTATAATACAGAACATATCATACGGTAGGCGTATATATATTTAAACACAGTCAACCCTCGTTATTACTGCTTACCTTAGAATGAGCATAAAGTTGGCCGTTCAGCGAAGCTGGCGGTACAACGAGATTTTCATGTCCTCTGTTAAATACATGTAGCACCGACTGCCCCTAGCTGATGAAATGAATCATCTCCCTTCGATCTGTCCCATAGACTTGAGCGTGAGTCCTCACTAAAAAGTCCCACAGGCATTCGCCAGCCTGTAAGTTATTGGGCTGATATTTGGCGACGCCTAATAGATCTAATCCCCGGGGGGGGGGGCGAGATGGCGGGGTTCCTTTAAAGTTTGTACGGGCGAATTAAAAAAGCAAATTCAATTATTTATTTTGGACTTTATTTTGGAGGGGGACGGGGGATATCAACCAAGGCCTAGATATAAAAGCGTTTTTCTAAACAGTGCTTCACGTGGGAGGAAGGGGGGGGGGCGAAATTTGATGTCGAATTACAACCTTATGTTTTACTTTGATTTCCTCTTCTTCATGACACATCGTATTGCGTTCGCTTGCGACGCACTAAATCACTGTAGATCGTTTTATATTGCCTGAAATCTACTAGGTAAAGGTGGAAAGGTTGGGTGGACGGAGGGGGACCAAGTCGGAGAATTTAAGGTTTTAGCTAATCCTAGGTTTCGCTCGTAGAGCGTGTGTGTGAAATAGCTAATTAGGCCTATTAATTATCCAGCAACCACCCAGTGGAGTTGCCGTGCGCTGTGTGTAGCTTACTGCGTTCTGCGTCGTTCTGGCTGTAAAACAGGGTAAATTTATAGTAGTTTAATAAGGACCGTAGGCCTACAACTGAGACAGTGGTCGGGTGGTGGATGGCGGTGTTAAGGCACATAATAATATACTATGTTTATATAGGGGATTCTTTTCGTATATTGGCAAAACCTCGCGGTAAGCAGGGCTGGCGGAGGGGTGGGGGTATCTATCTATCTATCTATCTATCTATCTATCTATCTATCTATCTATCTATCTATCAGCCATTTTGCCAGCGGTTTTCAGTCGTCTGTCAGCAACGCTTATAGATCTTAATGCAATGTCAACACATCCCTCAAATTCGCCATATATAGTTATATTTGGAGTTTAAAAGTTTTACCCATACCCAGTGCGCTATATTTGACTCAACGTTTTATTCATAAACTTCTATTGTTAGATTTGTCGCAAACCAATTGGCCTCCACTGTAGGCGAACTACGCTTGAACTACAGCGTAGCACGTGGTTTAAATCATGCTGAACTAATTGGGAATTAATTTATTATGTTTTTGGTTTCTTTAATTTCTGGAGATTATTTCACTTTTTAGAATTTAAAGTGTCTGGCTGTAATTGGTCTTTGGCAGTCACAGCGCAAAAGAGATTCAAACTCGAAGATTGAGATCATTTAATTCTTTTTTAAAATTCCATCATTTTTTAGAATCAGTGAAACACATTGTTAATATCATACCATGAACGTTGCTATCGATGGTAACTCGTAGAATGACGGACACTGATCTCAAACCCGTAATAGGTTCATATTTAGATAAACATAATATTATCAGGCCAAGTATACTACGTGATTGTGTATTTGTCACCGGGATACTGACGGCTGATGTAGTTTCCAGTACAACGAGGGCAACAATTCAATAAATCTGGATCGGGCTAAATGGAATGTTCAAGCCATTGCAAGGCAATTTGCTGTTAAGACTTATATTTGCGCCATCGGGGGATCGAATTGTGCCGAAATGGTGGTAGCTTAAAATTTGCCTCACCCATGAAGGACAATCTGACTGGCCCTGACTCAAATGAATTCTATCGGTAGTGAACGCCCGATATAAGTGTAATTTTAATCCCAAACCAATATTTCTGCTAAAAAAAAAATACGGATACAACGAAGTTCTAGTCCAGACACTTTGTACCAGTGGATAGTGGCCACAGAATTCTACACTTAGTGTAGAATTCTGTGATAGTGGCCTAGAAGCCAGCCATACAGGACATGGAGAACAATATTATGTTGAGTAGTTGGCCAACGTGCGTGTACTATATTATGGCCTTTAGTCGATAAACTTCTTTTTTTTATCCACATTTTTTTTTTTTGCCATTTCTATTATCTCAGAGAAACAATTGTTGTAGCTCAAACAATCTAAAAAGAAGTCAGTCTAACCTTTCTTAAAACAAATTTGAACGCTGCTCAGGTTTCGCGAGACTAAAAAGTTATCCATAGAGGCCTTCGGTTATCCTTCTTTTGGGCGTTATGCGGATTGTTTCGTCAATTAGTCAACGAGTCAAAACTAGTTCAGCATAAATTATGTTAAGTTAAAGCGGGTCGGGTAGCGTGCGCGGCCAAGAGACGAGCTTTGTGAAGGTAGCCTAATCAAGTTCTAGCCTAGTTGAGAGCTCGCTTGGATGATCTACTTTTTACCAATTCTGTTGACAGGTTTTGACCAAGTTTACAAATAACTGAAGTTCGTTGGCGTAAAAATAGGTAAGTGTTATGCAAAGCTATAATCTCTTGAACATAATTGTGAATTTATTGCGAGGTAAAAGACCCATATCACCCTGTAAACCCGCCTTTCTGTCGGAAGCAAAGACTAAGATGGCCGCCCGTTTCACATCGCCCCCACGTCCATAATAATGGACCAGAGCCCAAATGAATATTAAAGGCATTTGAATTTAATGTAAAACTTGTCATTTGGCGTCAGCATGGTGCTTTGTTTTAGACGGGGACCCAGATATGCTCATTAGATCTAGATTTCTATCTTCTCTGGAACTGTTAGCACTGTTGACTGTTGGAGGGCCAAACCAGCATCTTGATTATAAATTGACTAAAAATTGAATTATCATGCCATGACTATGGCATAGTCATAGAGTCAGAGTTGTGGCTGATTTTGTAGTTTCGTTGGTTATCCTGCGTCTGTACCGAGATGCGAATCTTATATAGCTGCCACTTTTCCGCTAAATAGCGGAAGGCCACCTCTATTCTCACCCCGGGTGAGAATAGTGCAGGCGAGTCTTTTGGCTATGGCTGATGTTAGGGACGCCCCAATAGCGCTAGGCGCTAGGGGAACGTACGCCCCCATAGTGCCATAGTGTTTGGCGCTTGGGGACCGTACGTCCTACCTGCGCTAAGGTGTGGTGTTACGGGACCGTACGCAGATATGCATGCATCTGGACTGCAAAAATACTGGAGGAAAACGGCCAGTTTAATGAAGCTCCTGCTGGCTATAGGAGTTATTACTTGGAGAATGTTTAAAATATCTGAATACGATTGTGAGGTATCCAGTGGCCGTGGGTGAACCAAAATTTGAAATTTGCTCACGTCTGCACCCACGATGTTGTTATGTGTCAATAAAAGAAATCAGAGAAAGAGAAAGAGAGAGGGGAGGAGAGAGAGAGAGGGGGGGAGGAGAGAGAGTGTGTGTGTATGAGTGTCTGTGTGTGTGTGTGTGTGTATGAGTGTGAAAAACAGACATAAAAGAAGTGAGAAAGAAAGTAGAAAGGAGCGAGAGAGGGAGACAAAGTGTGTTAGAGAGACAGAGAGAGATTGGGGGGGGTCGTGAGAGAAAGAGAGAGATGAACGAATTTACACAATGGGAATGTTTGGAGAAAAATGAGTAGGATAAGTGTGTGTGCTCAGGCGCATTCTGCGGGCAGACGTTAGTACATTTTTAAGTTTTGCGACCTAAAATAAATAGGCCTCTAAGCCCCATTTAATGACGCTCGTAAACGCCGGAAATTTACTCACTTTTGCATGAGAGAACACGCCTGAGCACACACTCAGTCTTGATAGCGCGCAAGACGCAAGATCAACTCACGTTCAATGACAATAACAATAACATGTAAAGAAAGGAAAAAGAAGACAGCTTGGAAAAGGTAGATGAAAAGCAAAGCAAACTATTGTAGAGATTTGACAGAACGTCAGGTTGTGAACTAGGCACAGACGAATTAAAGTTTATTTGCAAGCGCATTACATATGATATTATATGCCTGTCCACGTTAATAATAAAACATTAGTATAACTGGACTACTTTTGCGCGCAGGTGTCGTGTAGTGTAACTATAGTGCGGTCAAAAATTCGTGGTGCAACTTTTCCTCAAATATCTCTTTAACGGGAGAATCAATGCCACCTATACTTTGCACAGCAGCAGTCTGTATAAAAAATGTCTTAACTGAATCATTTTTTTCCACAACAATTGTGGCTCGATCAAAAAAATGTTTTTCATAAATTTGTATATAAAGTACAAGGCCTATAAATCTCCATCACGCGAAAAATGTGATTGTTCATAGCACTTCCCCCTTCTGGCACACATTTTGCATACGCACATGGCCTACGTCATAGCTCACCAATGACACTTTTTAGTGGCAAAACTTATTACAAAAATGTTTTTTTTATGAACACATTCTTTTTACACTAAAGGTTTCCTAAACATACGTTCAATAAGCATGCATGTTATTGCGATTGGAAAATAATGACAGACTTGCTTGTAGAAGCAATATTGCCGGAGCAGTAAAAATTTTAAAATTTGTAGAAACAGTCGACAGGGATTTTTTATTGGGAGTGTATAAAGACCCGGTAACCGGGATCAAAGTCACAAAGTATACAGACCCGGTAAAGGAACTCTTTGTGGTTTCGGAGAGTTTCTGCGCCCTCTTGGCTCAGGGTAGACCTAGGTACTTCTAGATTTATGATCTAGATCTAGGCAGACAGACTTAAATCTTTGATCTAGTTTCGCGGCTAGCGTAGATCTAAATGAAGATTGCGGGTGTCTTTTCGATGAACGATCTTTTTTCCTCCTTTTTGGAGTTGGAGGAATCACAATTTGAAGAAAAGAACAAGTAACAATGTCATAATTTCAATCGGGGGGGTCCCCCCCCCCCCCCCCCTCCCTCTCTCTCTCTCTCTCTCTCTCTCTCTCTCTCTCTCTCTCTCTCTCTCTCTCTCTCTCTCTCTCTCTCTCTCTCTCTCTTTCTCTCTTTCTCTCTCCTCTGTATCGCTCACCTTCTCTTTTTCTTTGTTTGTTTCTGTCTTTCTTTGTCCCCACCTATTTCCCACTCTATTTTTCTCTCGTTCCCTCCTGCCAACTGGGGCATGTCATATACATTTTGCTAGCAACACAAAAGAGTTCCCCTACCGGGTCTGTATACTTCGTGACTTTGTTCCCGGTTACCGGGTCTGTATACACTTCGTTTTTTATTAGTTATTATTAGTACTTATTAAGGAATTTAAGGAATTTTCTAGAATACAGTGTGCAGGAGTTTGAAAAAATATTCACCTGTTAAGACAAATTGATACAAGTCGCTGTGCAAAAGTTAGAGAATCTATGTTCGATAGGTAAGGAGATATTTCACAATAAGTTGCACAGTGAATTTTTGACCGCACTATAGGCGTTAGCTGGTATACTATGAATTTAATTCGCAGTGGCTACGTTCACGGCGCAAACTGCATTCAGGGTGCCGTGAACGTAGCCTGCCAACTACATTCACGGCGCCGTGAACCTAGCCTGCAGACTACGTTCACGGCGCCGTGAACGTAGCCACTTTAATTTGTACTCTAATTCCACGCAAGGGTTACATGATTAATTATCTCTTCTCAATCTAATAGCATATTTATACCCTGCCGACCCCATCGTTCGCTCCCACATTCCCTTCACCAACTCTTTCCGCCTTCTCTCTCTCTCTCTCTCTCTCTCTCTCTCTCTCTCTCTCTCTTTTTCCTTCTCTCTCTCTCTCTCTTTCCCTCTCTCTCTCTCTCTCTCCCCCCCTCTCTCTCTCTCCCCCTCTTTGGTTTCTTTTATTGACACATAACAACAACGTGGGTGCAGACGTGAGCAAATTTCAAATTTTGGTTCACCCACGGCCACTGGATACCTCACAATCGTATTCAGACACTTTAAACATTCTCCTAGTAATAACTCCTATAGCCAGGAGCTTCATTAAACTGGCCGTTTTCCTCCAGTATTTTTGCAAAGTCCAGATGCATTCATATAAAATATTATAATATATTAATATTAAAATATTATATATCTGTGTACGGTCCTGTAACACCACCCCTAAGCGCAGGAAGAACGTACGGTCCCCTAGCGCTATTGGGGCGTACGGTCCCCTTACAATAGCCTTTGGATATTCTCACCCGGTGCACCTTCACCATTATAGCCTAGATCTAGGCCAACTAATTTTGCGTTCACCCTGAACCACAGAATTCTACACTGTGATAACAGAATTGTAGAATTCTGTGCTGTGAACAAACGTTCTAGATCTATTACTACTGTTAGTGTTAGCCTAAAAGCGTGCAATTTTGTCTGTGGGCAGCGGAGAAAGAGAGAGAGAGAGGAGTAGCGCGAGAACTTCCGGGCAAAACAAAAGTGCGACCCGCGTAGTTCGGCTCGATTCGGAAAGTTAAATAGACGTAGCATCTTTGTAGACGACCAAATTAATTTAGTTTAGTTTTTTAACATCATTTTTAAACTTTGTTTTGGTCAATTTGATCGTCCACACCGATAGACAGTATTCAGAGAGAGAGGGGGGAGGAGTAGATCTTGCGAGAACTTTCGGTCAAAACAAAATGGTGATCCGCGTAGTTCGGCTCGATTCGAAAAGTGAAATAGCCATAGCATCTTTGAAGACGATGAAATTAGCTTACTTTTGTGCTGTAACGTAATTTTTTCTTAGCTTTTATCAATTTGAACATCCACACCGATAGTAGACAGTATTCCGAAATGAGGAAAAACAGGTCTTGTTACACACTGGGTGAGAATAGCCTACGCTGGCAAGTCTCACCCGGGTTGAGAGGTAGATCGTATTTTTATTCTCACCCCGGGTGAGGATAGCCACTTCCTTTTGTATATGGCCACCTCTATTCTCAGAATAATAGCGCAGGCGAGTCTTTTGGCTATTCTCACCCGCTGAGTGTTCACCGTTATAGCCTAGGCCAACCAGTGAAGCGTTCACCCTGAACCACAGAATTCTACACTGTGATAACAGAATTGTAGAATTCTGTGCCGTGAACAAACGTTCTAGATCTATTACTACTGTAAAATCCTAAAAGCGTGCAATTTTGTCTGTGGGCAGTGGAGAGAGAGAGAGAGAGGAGTAGCGCGAGAACTTCTGGGCAAAACAGAATGGCGACCCGCATAGTTCGGCTTGATTCGGAAAGTTAAATAGCCGTAGCATCTTTGTAGACGACCAAATTAATTTAGTTTTGTTTTTTAACATCATTTTTAAACTTTGTTTTGATCAATTTGATTGTCCACACCGATATACAGTATTCAGAAAGAGACAGAGAGAGAGGGGGGAAGAGTAGATCTTGCGAGAACTTCCGGGTAAAACAAAATGACGACCCGCGTTGTTCGGCTCGATTTGAAAAGTGAAATAGCCATAGCATCTTTGAAGATGATCAAATTAGCTTACTTTTGTGCTATAACGTAATTTTTTCTTGGCTTCTATCAATTTGATCATCCACAATAAAACGGAGTAAAAACGGGAACTTTTAGCTCACTTCGAGCTTGTTTACGTAAACAGCTGACTGTGGGCGTGCCCTGCTAGCTGCTATGGTCTGTTGATCTTTCCGTTTTACAGTTGGACTGACTTTAAAAATTGTTTTTTTATTGTGTTTTAGAGCTTTTAAAAGATTGATTAACCTTCATCTAGGTCTCTTTGAGCGGACTCCTTACCAAGAGGCCATCGAGGCGGTCTATGTGCATGTGTGTGTTTGTGTGTGTGCTCTCGTGTGTTTATGGTGCCATTGCAAACGCATAATCAGGTAGCGTAAACACGGCGGGTAAGCCGACTTGCGGCTTTCCGAGCGCATGGTTTCGGTGAAATGGGGGTAATTCAGATCTGTTTCTTTGCTCTTTTGTAATAAAACACCAAATGCTAAATACTTTGAAAAAGTTCAGATTTTCTTCGTTTTTTTCTATGTGAATGAATAGATTTTTTCTTTTGTGGGTGAAAGGAGACAATTTTAGAGAGAAGAACATTTTCCGGTGGCTACCAGATTCAAACCCAGGACCTTTGAATGAGAGGCCTCCACCTTAGCCTGTAGGCCACGAGAGTCCCTTGCCAATGTGGCTCTTCTGTTGCTCACAGAGGACGAGACTGTTTTTAACAGTACATCTTATAATTTCATCAGTAACATTCATCATTACACCTGTCTTTAGTCATTTTCAGTCAATTGGGTGATTGGCAGGTGCTCTGCTGTGGTTTGCTTCTTCTTTCCTACATCTATTGTCCTTATCTTTCCTCCTTTTTTGTGTTTGTTACTCTCTTGTAACACCTGTAATCTTTGACTTGTAAGAGGTGAGAGTCAAGGGCTGACAAGCGAACAGCACTTAACTGTCAGTCTGGACCCCACCACCCCTCCCCCTTCCCTTTTCCCCCCCTTCTAAGTTCTCACCCCAGCACAATTCTGTGTTGTAAAATTAGTATTTGACATTGAATTGTGATTGGAAATTGTTGTGTGATTGGAAATTGTTGTGTGCTTGCTTTATTCAGTGCGTGCATGTTAAGTGTATTGTAGGCTTATTGTTTTGGATTCTACCTAGACTTGGTCTGCTTGGGATAGCATCAGTGGTGTGGTTTCAACTATTTGGTTCTATCCTGTTTCTACAGACTACTAATTATGTACATTAAGAATTCTTAGTGGAATGGGACCATGTTCCCAAGGGCTCTACGTGTGTTTGTGTGTGTGTTGTTTTATGAAAAGGGAGGGGGGGGGAGGAAGACAAAGGGGGTTGGAGGTTGAGGAGACCAATATGAATGATAGCCGGTCAGTTTCACAAACCGCAGCTGCCACTGGCTGTATTATTTTTAGCTGTGTATATCATTTTTATTTTTATCAGGTAAAGTGATATGACCACAAATACAGTTGCATTATTTTCCAGAAAATTTTAAACATTTCACAAAATAAGGGCAAAGGGGAAAAAACAGCAGCATGACACACTCACACACACACACACACACACACACACACAAATGGGTCTAAAATTAAATACATTATTATTAAGCAATTAGTTGAATTGGTCTTATTTATCATATTAATCCTAGATCTAGTTCGAATAGAAACCCATGAAATAAATGAAATATTTTTAAAAAGCAATCAAATTGTGACATATTTTGTGTTCAACAAATAAAAATATTTAAAAATGAACAAAAAAAGGGCTACTATCTATACAAAAACCTGAGCGTGAGATGAGAATGAAAGTAAAATAATACCATATTTTTAATGTCATTATAAGTGTAAGAAGTTTAGAGCTGCATTTAGTAATGGTTAGGTGTTTTCTAGGCTATGTTTGCCTACTGTAGGCCTACATTTCTGTTTGCTCAGTCTTACCAAGTCCAATTTATCTTTCCAGATACTCAAGGCAGCACTGATGGATTTCGATTCGTCGTCCAAGTTTATATCATCCCTTGCAAAGTTTTTACAGTCTCTTTGCAATGGATATGTTGAGTTTGACAATGGTGTGGAAGTGATTGGCCATATATATCTCAATGTTGATACGGGGAAGAAAATAGACTACATTCTCAATGAAAAAGTTTGCAAAACGGATGAAAATTCTGTCACGTTTATTAGCAACAGTTTCCATGCTCAACCTGCAGAGAAACCCAAGCCTGCTCCAAAAAATCTCAAATCAACTGATCAGGACAAGCCATCTGATCCAGGAGGCTTGCCTGGTGATGATGATGAAATAATGATTCTTGATGATGCAGAGGCCAGGAATGTTGCATTAGAGTTAAGAGAAGGTCCAGCTTCAAGTCCCCACTCAAAAACTGTCCGTCCTCCAAATGCATCAAAACGATCGTACAGCCAAAGTTTTGCAAGTCAAAAACATTTGGCAAAACACAGTCGAGCTGACCCTTCATCTACACAAAGTCCAAATGGTGCTCATCATGATTCTGATTCAATACATTCTGAAAGAAGCAATTCCTCTACAAACTTTATCTCATCACAACTCCCACAAGAATCATTGACTTCAGAATCTGATCCTTCACAGTTACCTAGTGTCTTTCCACATACTTTTGGTGACTCTTCCAACAATCAGGGATCTACAGGCAAAGATATAAAACAAGAACCTAGCAATGATATGAATTTGTTGCATGTGAAACAAGAATATGATCCATCAGGGCAGGAGGAAGAGCACGAAGCATGTGAGTATCAACATTTTTTCTTGGTTTTATCATACTATATAATATATACCTACCTAATTGATCTTAAGAATTTTTGGAAAGTGTTCTCAACACTAATTCAAGTTATTTTTCTCTGGAGTGATCTGATAAGGTCCCACGGACACACCTCTTCTGACTTAACTTCGATGTTTTTTGTTTTTTTTAAATTGCTGCTGCTTTATTAATTTATGTATAGAAAATATGGGGGGTTGTTTTTTTAGAAGAGGTTTTTCTTAATGTACTCGAACCTGTTCTCTTGAAGTTTTGAGAACAAATGAACTGAGAATTTGGACGTTGTTGTTGTTAAGTTTTTTTTAATTTTAAAAACTTTCAATTGCAGTGCTTGTATAGTTACATAATATGAACTATGGAGTATGTACTATCATGTGTGTGTTTGCAGCCTTCCAGGTTCTTTGTCTTAATTATAGACCTGCCAAGTTCTCTGTGATAAAGTCAGAGCTTTCAGAATTTTTTAATGTGTAAATTTTCTATTTTTTTTCTCATGGAAGAATCCGTTCCCATGTCATAGGCAACTTATTGTAGGTGACATGGAAATACACTGATTTTTTCGTTTGCTATAATAATATTTCCATTTTATTTATTATCATATAAATGATGTGAAAATATACATTGTTATGTGCATCTGTTTACTGTACACATTTACTTGCTACTCCGGGTTTTTAATGTTTAAATATTAATCTTAATCTATTTGGGTTCTGGAGACTGCCCCCCAACCCCAAACTCAGATTTTTAGGAACTCTGGGGATCACACCACATTTTTAATCATAGAAAGGTGGGCATCTCTATTACTATTTCAGCTTAAATATAAAGTATACTATTTATAAGCTAATATGGCCCTATTTTTGTAGTAGTTGCATGCTAATGGTTTTAAGTTCCAAGTTAGCCTCTGGCCATTCTTGCATCTATCACTTCAACTTCATAGTTTTGCGCTGCAAGCAATGATTACATTTGGCTGAACACTGCCAGCAATGATTACCTTTGGGTGAAACAAGCATTAAACCTAACCTTTTTGTTTATTTTCAAATTTTGTTTTAATTAGATGCTGTAGCATGATGAACAACTTACACTTGATTTAGTTCAGTCTGAAAACACTTGACCCATGTTTTTCTGTGGAATATTAATAGTATTATTTCCCCTGTTCGAGTTAATATGAGAGAAACAATAGGAAGCCTCTTCTCTAAGATTAGCAAAGTACCTTTTTCCCTGGAAATTTCCAAACATGAATGTTACAGACTTTTTGCTATTATATTTTGAATGAGAATGACTTTCCTGTGTAGCTTTTTATTGTCACTATTGCTCTCTTTGTCAACATAATTATATATATATTATATTGGTTTGGTGAGGGGGGGGGGGTTGTATTTGTAGATGTTTTTTTATGCCCAATCAACATAATGTAGATAATTTACAAAGTTTGCAAGTTATTTGGAACAAGGTTATGTCAGCTTAATTGTATGAGATGCTTTATAATGCCCCCGTCAACATAAGTTCACTTAGGAGTCCTTTAGATTGAGGTCTGAATGGGTCTGTGATTTTAAAAAAATAACTGCTATATTTTTTCCTGAAGTGGTATCTTTGTTGACTACAGGGTATTACTCAGAAGATCAGATGTTAGGAAAGTGGCTTTCTTTTACTTGTAAAACCGTGGCCGTTTTAATGGAAGTGAGAAACATGGATTTACTTGGGCTTATGATAGATGAGAAATGTGCAGACACCCCACCTTTTTTTCCCCCTCCAGTTTAGGCCTCTTTTATAACAGATTGCACGAAAGCAATTTCATTATTGGTGTTATTTTGCCAGATTGAGCTCACACCACCTTTTTGAAAGGTCTCTCTTCCCTCTGACTTTTCAATAGAAAGAGGACACTCATCACTTTGTTGTTTTCGAGATGTTGCCATTCTCAGATCATTCTAGATCTATCTGTTAAAAGAACTGTTATGTATGTTTTTGTAATACCCAATGCCCATTGGGGGATCGACAAACTGATCGCCCGATTTACAGCCTGAAAAAAAAGTGCTTGTTTTTTAGGCTGCAAGTTGAGAACTGGTTGTGCCACGATGGTCACTTTGCACCTGCAATCTGGCTAGCCCTGCCAACCAAACGGAACTGATCATGCCAATGGGCACCCCCTATCATTTATGATGTATAGTGCAATTTGAAGTCCTGGTTATTAGTTCTCTTTTTTTTTTTTTCATGGCAATAAATTTATATCTTTTCCAGATGGTGACTCTCAAGATCAAAGTTTGTACAGTGGTTTATATGATGAACAGTATTATCCTGGTGCTAGGAGGGGTCAGTCACAGAGAGTAGACTTTAATCAGTCTGGTTCTGTTGATCAAGGTGAACTCTTCCCGGGCGCAGCTGGTACTTCAGGCGATGTTGGAGATGCTTCAGGTTGGTGATTTTTAAAATACTTTTTTATGCAATGGTCGATAAAGCAAGGGCACCCATCCATTGTCAAATCATAGATAGGGCACATCCATTCTGTAAAACAAAAATTTAATAACAAGAGGACCTTGAAATGCACAGTTGTAACATGAATGCCCTCTCATAACATAAACCAAAGTTTTAGAACGTTTTATATACAAACTATAGTGACTCTTCTTTTAAAGGGTTGTAAGTTTTGGTAGGGATTAATTTTGAAGTTTGCTCAGGTGACATTTATGTGTCATGACGTGATGGAATCAGGCACTCTTCAATTTTAGGGCATATATGGAGTTATTAGTATCATCTTAAACCTGTCCATTTGCCTCGCTTTTGATTAAAAAAAAAATAATATCCATTTATCTTGGATACAACTCAGAGTCAAGAGTCAAGATATTGGCGATTGAAGAAGGTGGGGTCGCCTGGTTTCAGGGCAAAATTAGCGAGAAAATGGCTGCCAGATTTGAGTATTTCCTTAGCTTTAGAGTCTGTAGAAACAAAATGTACATCTTTTATACCTTTAATCAACGTTTTTCTGTAAAAATCCACACAGAAATGTGTTCCTTAATAATGGACATGAAAGCTGTTGAGCCAAAAAACAAAATTCAATAAGAATTGCCAAACCTGCAGGAAAATGCCAGTTTCTTCACTTTCTTTATTTTAACGAGTACCTGATTTCACCACACTGCCTCACATATCTATTTTAGAACCACCAAAAGAGCTTTGACTTGCACTCGGGACCTTCAAAGATTTTTTTTCTTTATCCAAGGAAATTAGATGTTTTAATCTTCTCTACCGAAAGATGGGGGTTGTGGCTGAAAGACAGCAATAAGGAGCCAGGTGTAGAAGCAGAAAGAGTTGGGAATAAGGGAGATAAGGGCACAGAGGGAGGGGTGGGATGACAGAGTTAAGAGAAAGGTAGAAACTTTAGTAAGTTTTCTGGAAAACTGTTCTCTACAAATTTTTTTAATGACCCCATTTTCCATTTCGGAAAACATTTCTTACCGAATTACAGAAAACAACTTCCAAAGTTTATTATTCTTACTCAAAAATGTGAAACTAGACGTAGATGTCTATAATTTACTTAATTGTTTAGATAGTGTCTTGCAAAGTTTCGGACATCCGTATCCTTACAACTAGTATTTATTTTTATGATAAGTGGGAGTGGAAAAGATATAGTGCCTCTCGTAGATCATAAAAGTGAAGTAAGTTTTACATCTAAACTGCTTCTGCAGCCTGTTTCAGAAATCTTATTTCTGATTAGAAAAATGATTAATTAAAAGCTTCGTACTAAACTACAGTCCAACTTGTCAAGGCGGAAATCTGTTATTTGGGAATCTCAACACTTCCCCCCCCCCCCCCCCCCCCCCATAGATTTCTCTGCAATTATCTCCACATAAAATGGAAGCAGAAAGATAATTCCTTCCTTCAGAGGGGTTTTTTACCAGTCAGAACTCATTTGTTACAAAGTTTGGTTCAATCGACTTTTACCTTAACGTCATGCTACCAGGCAAAGAAGGGAAGTAGAGAAGATGCAATATGAGGGTAGATGTTACCCTGTCTATGTGAGCCCTCAACAGTGCAAATGTTCAGGGTGTTGGGGGTGTGAAATGTCACCAGTGTCTGAAAGTTCTCAGTGGCGCTCCAGCAGGGAAACTTTCCTTCGTAGCAAGAGGCCAAAAGTGTGAAATCCTACAGGTAGCTGAGAAAGGAGTTCCTTGAACCATTGTGTTACATGCACACAGGGGTGGCATCAGTTGACTGTTTATTACACTGATGGGTGGGGGCTAAGGGTGGAAGCAAAGATCAAACAGTGGTTCTATGAAAGGCAAGCAATGTATAAGCAGGACTGGCACATGCCATTATTATCCCAGAGGATAGCATGAGAGGTGTGAAGTTTTGACCAATGCTTATCAACCGGACAAGCGACCCTTGATCCCTCCGACTAGGCCTCGGGGAAACACACACACACACTGGACCTAATTTTTTTCTGGTCACTGTATATTTTGTATAATTATTAGGCGTATGTTCAGGACCAGAGTTCAGTGAGTTAAACATAGATATTCTTCTGTCCTATTAGACCAGAATCATTTGTTACATATTTATGTGTAAGACAAGGATAGCCAGTTCGTTCTTTTAAAAATAGCTTTTAAAAAGAAGTGATCAGTTTTTGTTATAATATTAAGCCCTTTGAAGTTACAAATCTTTATTTTTCTTGTGTTTTGGTATTGTGCCCTTGCTTTTTTCATACCATTGAAAATATTTTTTAAATGATGACCAAAACTGTGTCCAAAACTTTATTGGTAGATTAATTTGAAGTATTTCAAATCCACTGAGTACACGAAAAGGATATTTGTAATTATGATGTGCATATTTTGTGCCTGTGTTGTTCTAAGCTATTCTCAGAAGAGCAGAATTGCTATTAAACAGAATAGAATGAGGTGAGGGGTCAATTGATTTATCTGAACAACTTTTGGTCACAGCCTTTGGGGTATCCATTAACTTCTTTTGTTCTTTGGACATATAAGTTTTGGTTATCATTTACACTTCAAAAGTGAATGCTTTTGTGTATGTAGGGGTCTCATTCTTATTTTACTGACATACTGTCCTCTCTTGGTAGTTTTTAAAGCAAAATTAAGTATTTGTTCAGTTGTTAAAGAAGTCTGAAAAGGGGTCAACTTTCACTTTTACATATCTTTGTTATGTAGATATCAGTAATACAGCTGCCTAAAAATGTTGAAGTTGTAAGGTTTCTATTTGATTTAAATTGTCTTCTTAAGTTTTGAAAGCATTGATTCTTCAGACATTCATTGTAATAGATTTTTTAAAAGGAAGTTTATAGGTTGGCATGACAGTCAGACTGGTGGATGAATAATAATTTTTTGAAATAATTTGTTGTGAGATAGTGGCAAACCAGTCACAGTATAAGTTTGCACACCGCATTTTGGTCCCGCTGAAGTTGGCCATACACTTTCTTGGTTGTTGGTATTCTTGTCCTTCCTATTCTTATGATATCTCAATCTTTAAAGTTCTGAAAGTAGTTGCTTAGCGGTTAATTCCTTCCCTTCACTTTGCCTCAGGAGAACATACCTAGGTGGAGTATATCTATGCTATTGGTCGCCTGGGTTTGTTTTTAACGGGTCTTGATGAATTAAAATATTAGTTTTTACACAAGAGCATTCATTTTTAATATGATTGTACTATTCACTGGAATAACAAATGATCAAGGCAAGCTCAAGCATTGTAAAAGAGTGAGGAAATTGAAAGTACTTCCAGTTCAGTCCACATTTAACCACGGTTGACCAAGGGAGATACAATTTAAGGTTCAATCTCCTATACTCATGAGTTAGTGTTTTATAATGGTTTGGTAAAGTTATGGAAGTCTCTTATCTGATTGTGTGTCAGCACTTTTTCTCACATGTTCACGGAATTACTCACACAAATGTGCAAATGGGGAAATCTGGAAGGTGGTAGCTATTTTTGAAGTTATGACTTCATTGTCATCCTTAAAGGAAATTAGCTTTTTTTAAATTGCCCACAGTTGTGTAGGATAAACATGACAAAGCAGAAGTAAAATGTAAGTCTGAAGAAATGAATATTAGTCCATTGAAGGAATTTCTGTTCTGGCATTAATAAATGGACACGATTTACAAGCAGAGGATGTTTCTGCATCTCCTTTTGTCACCTTTGCCATAAGTACTTTACAGAGATAAGTATCAGCGAAAACCTGTTTTGTTCTGCATATGGGTCATTGCACCAGGGATTTTGACACCTGAGTCTTCAAATCAACATACTCTTAACTGTGCTTACACATCATTATGGGCAAGTTAGTTGTCACCCTTCGTTTGCTAGTAGTCTGGCCAAGCTACTGCGAGCTTGATATTCCAGCTCCTGTATTTTTCTTTGCGGCTGACTCTCGAAGTCACACCATTATGCAGTTGCGAGCGCCATAAAACCTTACTCTAAATAGACTAAATCCCAAGAATCTCTCTTTGTTATTTTATTCTTGCTTGTATGTTTGATTGAAAAACTCACAGTAATGATTGTGACGGTGCATATTACTGGCGATAAGTTTTTACCGAAAGATCTGGGAGGTCAAGCTTTCACATGAGTGAAATAACAGCGGATTTGGCTCCTTAGTCCATGAAAGGTGATCTGTTGGAGGCAACTTTAAAATTTGACCTCTTTGTTACTCTTTGTCAAAGTCACTAGTGCAATGACCCATATATGGCTTCGGACTCGTACGCTGAAGGTTTTGTATATGTAAGCTAGTCTGAGGAAATTGGAAACTTAACTCTGGGCCGTTGTGATTTCTTGTGCTTTTCTGACTGGGATCTTCCTGATTACTATGCACTTAGAATTTTTGAAATTTTATCTTTTCTACAAGCTGAGACATTGTATTTTGAAGCAACAAAGTGGGAAAATGTAAGAATAAGAAAATGCCTTCAAAGTTACAGTTTATTTCCTGGCAGAATTGAGAAAAAAATTTTTTTTTTATTGTTTACGAGAAACAGTTCTTATATTCTGAAATGGTTAGGGAATCCCCTGGTATACATTACTCAAAATTGACCTTTCCGACTATTTTTGCCAATATCTCAGTTCAAAGTTTAGTGAAAAGTTCCTGAATTCCTCAAACCGGCTCAAATATTGGGGTCACTAGAATGTAGCAGATTGAGTTCTTTGAACAGATGGGGGGAGAAGTTAGTTGTCTAACAAAATGTCTATTTGGGGGTGGGGGGGGGGGGGGGGCAGCTAAAATAAGCCCAGTCTAAGTACCCACTCGTCAAACACGAGTCCACCTTGAGGGTGACCACAGAATTTTAATTACCCAGATGACCAGCAACTTGGTCTTCATGCCAGTTTCAGTCCCTAAAAATTAGTCAAATAAAATTTTTTAAAAGAGGGACTCATCCTGTCCTGTTTTGACTACTTAAGCAACATCTTTTGTAATTTTTGCTGAATATTGGTTA